GCGTGCACCACAAGAAAAGGCAACTTCAATCCTCACCATTCTGGCATCAGAACTGCGAGGGTCTTACCACTCACAAGCTCAACCTCCAAAGGGCCATACCACTCATAAGCTCAACCTCCAAAGGGCCATACCACTCACACTCAACCTCCAAAGGGCCATACCACTCACACTCTACCTCCAAAGGGCCATACCACTCACACTCAACCTCCAAAGGGCCATACCACTCACCAACTCCTCAACCCTCAGGCACCCACTGGGTGGGACATGAAGGTGCATCAGCCGTAAATAAGCTCACTGGGTCGCCACACGTGTTTCAGAGGAGATGTCCAGCTATGTCAAAAACAGCAAAAGAACTCATTAAAAGATGTTCTCTATGCAAATAAAAGCGTAGTGCTGCACTCAAACTCACACTGCAGCAAAGCAGCATAGTATTCCAAGGACGCAAAAGTTACTCTGACATATTACTGACCCAGTGAGTCTCCATGATAAAAGAAGTATTGCCCAGATGGTTAGGACGTCACATGACAAGAGAACGTGCAATCCACTAACCTGTTTCCTATTCTTAAACTTTAAAGATGTTTGCCACACCTTACTTAGCATGAACAAACCCCGCTATGGATGGTAGCACACAACAGGCCAACGGGGCCATCCCAACCAGATTCATCTGCGGGCAACTCGGAATTCCTTCTTACAGTGTGTAATCTGCAGCCAGACAGACTCCAGTCCAACGGCACTTATAGTGAAGACAACTGTTGTATTATACATACCCACAATGCAGTGCAGCTCCATCAATCAGAAAGCCTTCATTTCAGGCTCTGTTGAAAGAATCTGCAGTGCTTCGTTCCTTTCAAATCTTGGTTTCAGTACCAGCCCTTGAGTGAAACACTTTAATTACTGATGCTGTCTGTGTTCAGTCAGTGTCACTCGTGACTAACATGGCACTGAAACCCCAAAAAGTGATTTGTCAGAGCTCTGCTTGCTAATCACTGTTTTGTGAGACTGGAGAGAAGTACAGCTATCAAGTTATTTAAGACGTCAGGGAATAACTGCATTCTACAGAAACATCAACAGATCAACATTAGTCTTCCAAATGTTCGGACAAAATGTAAAAGCTGTAAAAAGAGATTTGGGAAACCATGTCTGTATGACACAGATCACATCTAATAACATCTCCTGGGCAATCAGGAAGGGCAATTTACAGGGTAACGTTTGGTTTCCACCAGGTTTGGGGCCATTCTGGAATGCATTCATCAATTCCAATCCAAATCAGGAAATGGGGCAGCACTCAAATAGGGCCAAAAAAATAAAATAAAATAAAAGCCACTGACAGCATGGATGGCAATCAGGAATACTTCCTGATGCATCCAATACGAATCAGGAAGGAGTGTTCAGGCGATGGCTTTTAATGTCAGGTGTTCTTCAGTGTCTTCCCTCAATTATGGTCTAATTTGGTCGTTAAAATGCACCTGGTTCCATTATGATGCCCTGAAGTTTCAAAATACCAAAATACATATGAAGGAATATTCTGAAGTTCAGTTTGCAAAATAGTAGCAACAGTATGAATCTGTTTGCCTTGATGTCAGACAAATGTGAGATCAGCTTGACTATCAAACACAGGCCAAGACAAACACCAGACGTTCTGATCCAGAACAGGAGTCTATCACTACAGACAGGCTGGATAAGGACATAAACCAGCTGAAATGATACACATAACCTGTATGGCATTAACATCACCAGGTACTTAGGGAGGGCTCTCCCTGCTGGTTACATGGTGCACTGCCCATTGAAGGCTGAGTCGAAGTGCTGCGGCATTCCCCCTGCTCTCCACACACACATGTGTGGGTTCTGGGTCACCTGATCATCTCCTGACCTGAAAGTAGCCGGGGTACCCTAGGGCTAAGCATGTAAAACACTCCAGTAAACAGGGAGGTACAGAGGATGCAGGGTAAAAAGCTCGGCGAATGATGTACGTCACCCTAGATGAGAGGCACAGAGTGTGCTGCTGATGGACTCCGGATGGTTCCGTCCCACTAGCTGCACGTACAGTGCCCCCATGCGGTGCTCAGGACCTCGTGCCATGTCACCCACCGGTCATGAAATGAAAACTAAACACGGACAGGTGGCGTTCTGGATAGAAGCAGCTATTTCCTATCTAGGGCTGTGTGTTTTCACTACCCTAATGTTCTGCCGGCGTTGTTAATCTTTTGGACAGCCACAAAAATTAAACCGCTCCAAATAAAGCAGAGATTAAAAGATTCCTGTAATGGTGATTAATGTTACCTGAGAAAGTGAGGAATGTTAAAGAGGCATTTCAGAGCTGCCTGACTGGGATGTATAAAGTGCAACACTGCCCCCCCCCCCCCCCCTCCATGGAGACAGGAAACAGGGATTGAAGGAGGTGGGTGGGGATATTCCGGAGGAAAAACAGAGACCGGCTGCTGACTGCTGTGACCCCCCACTGCCCACCCCTCACAAGGCACCATCCAGATGCGCAGACGGCAGGACTGCCAGACCTTCATGCTGCTCAGTGACAAAATTAGTCCTTCCTGCATTTCCAGCATTTCACAGGCTGCTCCCCTCCATCCAGGAGAGGCAATCAACCAGGGAAGGTCCATGTCATAACCAGAAACACTGCTCCATATCTAAAGGCAACCACAGCAACACCAATCAAAAACTCCCAGCACATCATGAGATCATCATCACATGCAGCTACACAGAGAATTAGCAGACCATAGCCGCCATGTGACCACCAGTATCGATCAGATCATGGCTATGTGAGCACCAGTATCCAACAGAGCTTGACCACCATGTGAGCACCAGTATCCAACAGAGCATGACCACCATGCGACCACCAGTATCAATGACACCATGCCCACCTTGTGACCACCAGTATCCAACAGAGCATGACCACTATGTGACCATCAGTGTCAATCGGACGATGGCCACCATGTGAGCACCAGTATAAACCACCAGCGTTAATCAGACCATGTCCACCATGTGACCACCAGTATCAATCAGATCAAGGCCACCATGTAACCACCAGTATCGATCAGATCATGGCCACCATGTGACCACCAGTATCAATCAGATCAAGGCCACCATGTGACCAGCAGTATTGATCAGATCATGGCCGTCATGTGACCACCAATATCGATCAGATCATGGCCGCCATGTGACCACCAATATCGATCAGATCATGGCCACCATGTGACCACCAGTATCAATCAGACCATGTCCACCATGTGACCACCAGTATCGATCAGATCATGGCTGCCATGTGAACACTAGTATTGATCAGATCATGGCTATCATGTGACCACCAGTATCCAACGGAACATGACCACCATGTGACCACCAGTATCAAACACATCATGGCCACCATGTGAGCACCAATATCCAACAGAGCATGACCATCACATAATCCTGAGTATCAGATGGATCATGACCGCCAAATAACCACCAGTATCAAACTGACCATAACCACCATCTGACCACTAGGACCAAATACCACCTAACTACCAATAACAATCAGGCCATGACCACCACACAACTCTGAGTATCAAACAGACCACAACCATCATATGACCACCAGTATCAAATAGTTCATGACCACCATGTGACCACCAGAATTAATTAAACAGACCATGACCACCAAATAATCACCAGCATAAAACAGACCATGTCCACCACATAACCCCCGAGTATCAAACAGACCACGGTCAATATTTTAAAAACCACTATTAAACAGACCATGACCACCCTTTCAGCCCTGTAATGTTTGTATTGTTAACTCCTTGGTTATGAAGACCAAAGCAAACACCTTTAGATCAGGACTGTGAGCCCAGGACTTACGGTCTAGGATGACAGGAGATGGGTCACAGCAGATTAAACATACCTGCAAGGAGTGTCAATTCCATAGCATTGATGTAGATCTGCTGTGATGTGGCCAGAACCAAAACGGGGTAAAGAAACCCAAACATGACACTGTTAAAACATTTACGCAATCAGGCAGCCACTCCAGTCACACTCCTGTGACTCACAAATCCAACAGGCCACAATGTTTTCAGCAGGAGATGGATCAGCATCTGCTCATGGAGCAGAGACTGGCCAGCACAACATTATGCTTTGATACAGAAAACTTAACTGCAGCACATCATCGAACTGATCAGCTGGTCACACATACACAGGGGCATTGTGGTTTCAAAGAAAGAAATGCTTGGAGCAGCGAAGGCACTGTGACAATAAGATTAAAAGAGCATGTGGGAGGTCAGCGAGGCCAGAGGGAGACCCAGCCTGACACCCCAATGTGGCAGCTGGGCTCCATGTGGGGGAAACCGCGACAAGGCGAAACAACGACCACAAAGGGAACTAGAGTAGCACGGCTCAGTGCCAGTGGATGGGACCACAGCCTGATATGTAGACAGATGAGTGAGGGTAGGGAGCAGCTCACACTGAGGCAACAAGAGGTGGCGATTCTCAACATGCAAGCTTAAGCAGGCAGAGCATCCATCCAGAAAGCTCCGGATGCTGGGCAAACAGAGAGAGAAAGCCACTCAAACCGAGAGCTACAGAGCAGAGCAGCACCAGACTGGCCACTTCCTGGGTGCCGAGCACCATGGCGCGGCAGCGGGAAGGAACGCCGGTGAGCCGGGAAGGCGGCAGCCAAGGCTGGGAGGAATGAGCACCTCTCAGCCTCTGAACGGAGCAGGGAGCATCAGCTTTGGCGTGACATGCAAAACCACGTGCGAATAGATCGCATTAGTGACACTGACGCTGCTTCGGACACAGACAGTATAAGCAGCTGATCATTTTAGCGAAAACGTCTTGCACAAGCATTACAAATGAGGATGCCACTGTATAGAGGCAATCGCATCTCTGTGCCCTGAGCACGTGGAGTCGCGGAGCCGGTACTGCCCGCAGAGGGGGTGGCGTCAGGTTGCCCCGCGGCACATGAGTATCAACCCCCCACACACACACACCCCCCCAGCCCTCAAGCTTACCTTTCACCCTCTCCCCTCTGTTGAGCTGGATCTCGCCCTCCCCCTGTGGTGTATAAGGCTTCACCACAATGAAGGTGCGCCCAGGAACTGCGCTGTAGAGCTTCCGCTTGGGGCCCCGGGGCCCCGTGATGGCGGCCGGCTGCGGGGGCGGGGGGCTGGGCTCCCGCTGCACCGTGCTGGGGCTGTAAACGAAAACATACGTTACCGTGGTGATCCCCGGTAGCTGGTAGCTGAAGCCGGTAGTCACCGACATGACGCTCTTTCAACGCCCCCCCCAGCCGGGACCCCTCATAGGCCAGGTCAGCTTCTGCGGAGGGATCGCGTCGCCGGCACCGCCGACGAGCCCCCGGCCTCCCCTCCACTGCCTCCGCGGGATGCGTGCGTGCCCGCCCCCCCCCCCCCCGGTGTCACAGTCAGTGGTGGAGGCGCCGGCGGGGGCCGCCACGGGCCATGGTCTGCCTGTGGGCGGAGTCACGCATGTCCGGAGCGCGGCCGGCTGCTCCCGCTCTTGCTTGCTCAGGCTCCACTGCGCTCTGCCGCTGCCTTCACCGCCGCTCCCCTCCCCTCCGCCCCTCCCTTCTCATCACAGCGCGGTGGCAGCACCGCCTGCGGACCTGCCGCCACGCGCCTCCAGGGAGCGTGGGCTCAGGATGGGTGCCCCGCCCCGCCCCCAGGCCCCTCCCCTGATCCGCCGGATGCTAATGGCTCTGCAGGCTGCACCGCGGCTGCTCCTCTCATTGTTCATTCAGCGGCACTGAAGCTGCCATGTCCAGGACTCTTCCCCCTCCTCCCTCTCTACCTCCCTCCCCCTCACCCTCCTCTGTCGCTCTCTCCCCCATCCCTTCCTCCCTCTCTCTCGCTCGCTCGCTCACTCAGTGCACCTCCATCCCGCGAGCGACACACACAGAGTGGGCACTGATTCAAAGTCTCATTCACAGTGTCTTCCGGAAACGTCAGCCTGCCACCCATGCAGGGCTGCCGTGCCGGAGAGTGTCTGTCACACTCGCATCTTCTGTCCTCCTCAAACACACTGCTTCTTGTATATCTGTGACTCAGGGATTTCCTGCACACCTCCTCTCACTTACTACAGTGCCTCACTGTCACACATGCCCCACCCTCCCCAGCATCACTCTCATCCTCACCAAACACACCGCCCCCCCCCCCCACACACACACACACACACACACACGCATCATCATTTGAGGGGTTGCATTTTCCATTACTGCAGGGGTACAGCACGTTAACATCTTGCAAACAGCATGTATGGGGGAGTGAGAAAGAAAGACAGAGATGTGGAGAAATGCAGACAGACACAGAAAGACACACAAAGTGACTGACAGGCACAGAGACAGAGTGACAGAGAGAGAGAAAGACATTCATACAGACAGTCAGGCACAGAGAGAGACACTCTCTTGTGTAAATACATCACACTGCTCTGAGCTGCCACACTGAAGGTCAGTCAGGCAGCTTCCAGGCTCAGAAGGGCGGCTCTGCTCTCTTTACACATGTGCAACATTAGTTACAGGGCAGACTGCATTCCGACAGTGATGTTAAATCTCACAGCCATAGGGAAGCCAACCTCACACAAACACACACACACACACACACACAAAAGAGAACTCACTGAAATTATTCACATTTCTGCACTGTACATTTACTTAGCAAACAGGTTCATACAGCACAGGAGCTTGTAAATTGTAGAATCTGCAAAACGCCAGCTGAAGCTGTGAACCCCATTTAAGGAGTGCAGGAGATGCCCAAGGCTCCAGAGAGATGGCTGTGTAACAGCACAGCTGCCAGATGGCTGTGACTCTGCTGGGCTGGTCGTGATGATGGCTCTCCAGAGGATCCCCTGAGATGCCCAGCATGAGATCAGGACCCATAATTCCCTAAAACGCGGCGCTCGCAGTCAGCACATGTCCCGTAAGGGGTGGATAAGCTAACGGACAGCCGGTCCCAACCTGTCCACACTGCATGCAGTGTGACATGGGCGAGCCACAGGACCACCCTACTGACATTCTTAACTGTCTTAACTGTCAGCAGTTTCGGTGACAAAGTTCTCGATGCAGACAGTGTCTGTCAGGCAGCCTATTAGCTCGCCTGGCCACATCCTCTAGAGGGCGACACATTCCCACATGTGCAGTACCGAGCCAATAAGAAGCCAGCGCTGCTTACAGACAGGCCGCTATATAAAGGCACCACAGGGCCCTTGAGTGAGCAGAGGTTCGGCTTGAACATTCATTTCCTGTCCACCAGAATGTTTCACACTCAGCTTAGCATTCTTTGAAGAATCATATCAATGAAATTACTTGTTCAAAAATAATGGAGCACAAATACCTGAGACATTCAATAGCACAAATGCAGTGCAGCCAGCTTGAAGAGCAAACAGAAGAGCTTTTAGTAGGAGCCCCCCAGCCCAGCCTGCACTTTAAACGATGGTGCCGCCTATCATATGCCAGGCGCTGCTAAGGGAGAGCAGATGCTAATTCATAACCTTCACAATAACGTCTGGAAGAGACAACAAGGATCAGGCTCCTGCGGCACAGTAAGCTAATTTACTGTTTGGAACACGTTCGTACAGCACCAGCAAACGAAACGTCTGCAGACGAAAGCCGAGCGGGAGGGTGGGGGTGTGAATCAGCAGGAGCTCCCCGCTTGCAGCGCCCTGGAGGTCCACGTCACAAGCCCGCTGCTCCCACCCGCTGTTGACATGGCAACGCTAAAGCGGTACACTGGTGATGCCAGTGTCGTAATTGGGCACAGCCCCCCTCTCCCAGGGAATATATAGCTCAGAGACACACAAACAGGTGAGAGCATACTTGGAGGGGGGGGGGTTACAGTGCAGGCTCAGCCAGTGTGCAGTGCCCCAGGAGCTGGGGGCTAAGGACCTTGCTCATGGACCCAACAGCGGCATCAGTCTGCTGGCCCCACGATTCAAAACCGCAACCATCACAGACAGAGTCCTAACCTGTTACACGTTGCCCCCCAAGGGGACCAATCGGTCAGCGGCCCTATCAAGATCACATACGCCAAAGCTGTGGGGGGAGGGGGAGGATGGGGGAACAATGCAGGGAGGGATTTGATGACAATAACCAACCAGAATCTGTGTGACACTAAAATGAACAAAAACATTTCTGGACATTATACATTTAACCCACTAACAGACTTCAGCACCGCACTGGATCAAATTCAGGGTGATTATTGAGATGTACGAAATGCTGCGTTATTTTAGTCCAGGGCTGGGAATCCGGACCAACAGGGTCTCACCGAGCCAACAGCTGACAGATAAACCCGAGCACATATCGTGCTCAACAAGACCTTGGATGAGGCCCAGTGCAGACCTGCTAACCCAGGGAAGAGAGCGCAATTGTCCAGGCCAAGCTGTGACGGAAAGCAGGCCTTAGACAGATGGCGCAGTGGATGGTGCCACACTGCACCACACTGTACCAAGCCTATAGGCCCGATTCACCATACCCACCTCTCTACACCGTACCCACCTCTCTCTACACTGTACCCACCTCTCTATACCGTACCCACCTCTCTATACCGTACCCACCTCTC